GAAATGATAGGTCCCTAGTATTTATATCCATCAACTACCTCACTCATTGTGATGAGTAATTTTATTTGTCAACTTGGCTAAATCACAATGCCCAGATTTTAGTCAAACAGTATTCTAGATGCTTCTGCATGGACATTTTGGATGAGGTTAACATTTGTATCAGTGGACCCTTGAGTAGAAAAGATAGCTCTTCATAATATTAGTAGGCCTTGTTTAATCAAATGGAACCTTGAATAGAACAAAAGACCTCCCTACAATTAAGAAGGAATTCTGCCCATAGATGATCTCTGAACTCGAACCATGTTCCCTGGTCTTCAGCCTGCCAGCCTACCCCAATGACTTTGAAACTTCTAATCTTCATAATGGTGTGAGGCAATTCCTTAAAATAAATAACTCTATATATCCATATCCTATTGGCTCTATTTCTCTGGAGAACCCTAACATACCTGCCCATAAAAACTTGGACTTTCCTATGGGGTTTTGTGAAGTTCTAGCCATCGAAGACTGGGATTAATAATTTATTCTCTTAGGTTTAGCCTTTAAACATACCCTAGAGGCATCTTTCAATGCAAGCATAATGAATAAGCTTTAGGACAGGGTCTTGCTGGATTGCCACACAATCAGCTTTGTGGATCTTGGATACCTAGACTCTTGGATTGTTCCTGGTTAACTCCTTGCCAAATAGCCCAGGCCTCTTAGAGGGCCCAGAATTCCTGCCCTTAAGGGCCAGTCTCATGTGACTGAAGCAGCGGACAAATTGCTCTGCCTGCTTCTTGAGTTTCTGTTGTTCACTCTGATCTTTGGCTCATTTTCAACTTTTGGCTAGGAGTACTCATATCCTGTTCGTTCTTTGTCTTCCTAGATCGTTCCTCCAGATGTGAAGCAATCTGAGATCAGTTACCAAGTCTTGGCCTAACATATTTTCCAACAGCTGGACTTTGTCAAACTCTCCAGGCTATTCTAGTCCATAACTATCTAAACTCTACTTCTGACTGAGGCAAACACACCAAATATTTCACCTGCCTATTATCTGGTTTTCTTTACCACCATTCTTTCACCTACCACTCAACCCTACCTCACTCCATAAACATTCCCCACACTGTTGCTCCCCTACTCCTTGATTCAAACTCTTCATGCCTCTGAATGAGTTATCCTCTCCTCCTAGAACAAACTTGTTTCACTGCCTAGCAAATTTTACTAAGCCTTTAAGAACTTGCTTAGGCGTTGCTATTCCCCGAGTCATTGCTGACTCTTCTAGTTAAGTCAGATATTTTCTTTTTGAATTTCCAGTGTGTTTGCACTCTCCAAGGTCAAAGAAACAGAAACAGAAATAAGGAGAGGGAGAAAGCACCCACCCCCATCAATGGAGCATGGTAATGCTATAATTCCTTTTTTCTTATTTTTTTTTTCATTTCTCCATCCTGTTGATATTTTGGGCACCCATGAACATAAGCTAAAATGTTTTCCAAGCTGCTGAGGCTAGGATTCTAATCACAGTCAGCCATGTGGGATCTGGCTCCCTTAACCACTAGCCCATGGGGCAGTTCCAAGTCAGTTATTCTTATCTGCAGCACTTTGTTTATATTTCTTCATAGCATGTCCCCTGTAGCAGTAGTGCTATCTATTGCATTTACAGTTTGTTTTCTTCATGTTAATTCCCTTGAGGACAGGGAACTAGTTCTAACTTATTTTTGTGATCCATGGACTAGCACAGTCTAATCACATCACATGGAGGTACTTAATTGTCTTTTGGTTCAATTATTAACAATTCTGGGCACTCTTCAACTTCTCTCCCTCTATGAGCAGAGAATGTCTTGTGCTCTAACAACCAGTAACAACTAGGAATAAGTAATTCATCGTGACATTAAATTATTTTTCTTCCAGGTATCAATTGTAAGTATAAACTTGGCCACCTACCAGAATTCAACTGGATTATAAATGAAGATATCAAAGACAAATGCTTTATTCTGAAAATGATTCTCGGGACCAGAATCAGCAACAATTGCAAAGAAAATCGTTGCTATTCCCCGAGTCATTGCTGACTCTTCTAGTTAAGTCAGATATTTTCTTTTTGAATTTCCAGTGTGTTTGCACTCTCCAAGGTCAAAGAAACAGAAACAGAAATAAGGAGAGGGAGAAAGCACCCACCCCCATCAATGGAGCATGGTAATGCTATAATTCCTTTTTTCTTATTTTTTTTTTCATTTCTCCATCCTGTTGATATTTTGGGCACCCATGAACATAAGCTAAAATGTTTTCCAAGCTGCTGAGGCTAGGATTCTAATCACAGTCAGCCATGTGGGATCTGGCTCCCTTAACCACTAGCCCATGGGGCAGTTCCAAGTCAGTTATTCTTATCTGCAGCACTTTGTTTATATTTCTTCATAGCATGTCCCCTGTAGCAGTAGTGCTATCTATTGCATTTACAGTTTGTTTTCTTCATGTTAATTCCCTTGAGGACAGGGAACTAGTTCTAACTTATTTTTGTGATCCATGGACTAGCACAGTCTAATCACATCACATGGAGGTACTTAATTGTCTTTTGGTTCAATTATTAACAATTCTGGGCACTCTTCAACTTCTCTCCCTCTATGAGCAGAGAATGTCTTGTGCTCTAACAACCAGTAACAACTAGGAATAAGTAATTCATCGTGACATTAAATTATTTTTCTTCCAGGTATCAATTGTAAGTATAAACTTGGCCACCTACCAGAATTCAACTGGATTATAAATGAAGATATCAAAGACAAATGCTTTATTCTGAAAATGATTCTCGGGACCAGAATCAGCAACAATTGCAAAGAAAATAGCTAATAAGATTACCTCCCATCGAAAGCCTAAGGTTCTATAGTTCAAAGGATGAAAAATAATTAGAAAGCCATGAAGTACACAGAAACTATACTATGCTATATAGCAACTTAAGTTCCTTATTTTTCCCTATATAAATGTCTTGCTCTCTCAACTAAAATTTAGGTGGCCTGTCAGAGCAAACCTTACTTCTAAGTTTTGGCTTCAGAACTTGCCTGCTCCTCAAGGGCAAAAACCATGGCTTAAGTCTTTCTCCCTCCCAAGCACCTCACAGAGGGACTGCCCACAATGTGAAGCCCTTGCTGATACGCTTGACAAACTGACAAAGCCAAATCTGTGCTAAGTTGCATAACTATGAGTAATCATGATTCTCACTATACCATTAGTTTTTAGAATTATGAAATGCGGATTTCACTGTTGCCAAAAAAGCTGCCCAAAGTATGGATCAGATTTCTAATTCAGAGTAAATTGTCTGTTTTTCCAGAAAGCAGAGGCTCAATCAGAGATAATAAAATTCATGACCTTGGCAAATAAAATTGTCGGTCGCATTATCAGAGATTCTAGCCAGGCTGACACTTTATACTAAATGACTCTTATAATCAGTGTATTGACAATAAGATTTGGAGATTTTATGACTTACCAAATCTTAACTTGAATTCATACAAAATGCTACAGATGCTACATATGATAGCCACTTTGCAAAAATATCTCCCCATGTCTTCCATATTCAAGTCCTTTTGTAGTACCTCCTCCTCTATGCCTGAGTTCTGGCTCAGTCTTGGATCCAAAGCAACAGCTTCAACCCCAGAACTGTAGCCAGAGAGCCCATCTCACTAAGGCTTCACTCTTGCACTGTCTCCTGATGCCACGTCCTGCCTACCAGATCCAGCTTCTTGAATGCTAACACTGACACCTGCATGGACCAGATGTGATTTGCCACATATCTTAGACACAACACTTATTACCCACCCATTGGTTTTCTATTACTGCATCAAAAATTACCTATCACAAACTTAGTAGTTTAAAACAAGACACATGTACTGTATCACCATTATCACATGGAACAACATCAGGAGCCTGGCTTGTTTTAGCATGATACTTTCTATTCAGGGTCATATGAGGTTGAACTCAAGGTGTCAGCTGATAAATTCTCATTTAGTGGCTCAACTAGATAAAGTGTGCTTCCAAGCTTCTTCAGATTGTTGGCAGAAATAATTTCCCTGAGGCTCTAGCACTAAGGTTCTATTATCTTACTAGATATTGGCCAAATACTAGTCTCAGCTACTAGAAGCCACTCCCACGTCCTTGCCACATGACCCCTTCCATCTCAAAACTGAATTCCTTTAACACTTCAAATATCTCTGATCTTCCTCTTCTCCTACTAGAGAAAAGTTCTGCTTAAGAGAGCTCAAGTGATGAAGTTAGGGCCACCTAGATAATCATACTATCTTAAGGTTAATTTATTAATATCTTAAGTACATTGCAAAATCTCTGTGGCTATGGAACCTAATAGTCATGGGAGAAACATGAGGCGGCAGATGTCCTGGGGTCTATCTTGGAGTTCTGCCTATTGTACTCTCCTATAAGCATACCCCACAAATTACTATGCTATACCTCTACATTGGTCAGGACAAGTTCACTGCTATAATAAATGAACTTCAAAATTTTGGTGACCTAGTACAGTCCAGGTTTTCTTTTCTCTTACGTCAAATTCTTCTAGGTCAGTAGGCCTCTGCTCGACATTACGATCTAGAAACTCAGGTTCCTTCAGTCTAGTAACTGTACGGTCCCAGAGTCTTCTATTAGGTCTTTTATATTCTGCTGGTAGACAAGGGAAGAGAGATGGTAGATTTTTGAGGCACTATTTGGGCTAGGCCTGGACATGGCCTACATGACTTATAGCTATATCCCACTGCACAGCACTAGTCATGTGGCTGTCTCAAATTGCAAAAGAGCCTGGGAAATGTAGATTGTGTACTAAGAAAAAAATAGAAATGATTGGTGAAGACTGGTTCACTCTCTGCTAAGCCATCTCTTTGCTATGAAATTTCTGGAAGGGTTTAGCATCGTCCTAGACTTGACAGAGGACAAATAATTACCCTTCTCTGCTGCAATCCTCCCCGCCCCTGCCAAAAAAAAAAGGGGGGGGTCAGTTTCTAGAGTTTCTTTACAAATTTAAAATGATAAGACAGTTAAGTTATCTATCTGCTGACTCTGATACTATTCTTTTAATATTTTTAGGTTCCAAGTATCAGGCATTTGTTGTATCAAAACATACAAATTTCACTCTTCTTGGATGTAGAAGTTTGCAATTAACATACTGAGAATTAAACAAAAAAAGAAAAGAAAAAAGGCAAGATTTGGACATCAATGTGACAAGAGAAGGACATGCACACATTTGTTAAACCAGATACATTCCTTTTCGTATTATCAAGGAAGTTCCTGTTCATTTTCAAAAACGTCTTGTGAAGTTATTCTCTTCAGAGACTTTCTGTGTGATTGAGTTTTGTTCCAGGAGCTGCGAGAAAAAAAAAACTGTTATTTTTGGAGAGTTACAGTTCCTGTGCTGGGTCAAGGAGAACGTGCATTCCAATCCTGAGCAAGATCTAAAGGTGGTTTTAAATCTCACCTTGAAAAAGGACAATTATTTTGCTCTTTCCTCTTTTAAAAGATACTGAGGGGGAAAAAAAAATTAAAAGATGCTGGAAACCCTTGAAATGCCTGAGGCTTATACATATAAGGTTGTAAATATCTTGAAGTCTTTACCTTTTGATACTTTCAGATGTCAAAGGATTAGTTAGGCTGCTATTTATGTAAACATCACTTTCACATCAGTTTTTATTGATTTACTACCAGCTTATTTGTCTTATTTAATTTTACTGTTCAATGACTTGATATAGAAATGTTTATATGAGGTTTAACCAGTTCTCGAAGCCTTGATTATATTTTCAGGTCATGCCCTTTGGCATTAAGCAGTGTCTTTGAGGACATTAAAAACAAGAAAACTTGAGAATCACCTTCCAAGCCTTTTCAATGGTATGAAAACAAGAGGCCAGAAATGTCAAGAGGAACAAGTAGAATTCCTTCATGGAATCAGACAGAGATTTGTGTGCATGGTGCTTTTTGTTATTGTTTTTGTTATTGTTCATCTGTGGTGCCTCTGTAAAGTTTAAAAAAAAAAAATCAAAGCAGATACTTCAACCATACGTAGGCCCTAGCCTATACTCAGGCCCTAGCTATGCACTACAATCTATTCTGTAATTCTGATTCCCCAAAACAGAAATTTGGGAAGACTGCCTAGAAATAAAACTGAAAGGCATTTTCTCTGTCAGTTATCATTATTATCATGTTCTATAAGTTTATTGTAAAATGTTGTTCAATCTTTATATTCAACCCACCTAACCCAGTAAGCAGAGAAAATCAAGGCTTGATCAGAATATATACCCTTAAGGGGCCAGCAGGTAGTGTGGTGGTGAAGGGTGCTGGACTTCAGATGGCCAGCCATGGTTCGAGTACCCAGACATGGCGGCTTGCTTTCGCTCTCTCTTTCTCACTCTGTTCCTCTCTGCTCAAATAAAAATTAAAAAATAAAATAAAATTTTAGGGAACCAGCAGTTAGTGTAATGGCTATGTCGCTGGATTCCCACATAGTTGACCGCAGTTCGTCTCCCGGACCCGGTGGCTTAGAACTCATGCTGGGCGCGTGTGCATGCGTGCCCAAGATCCCGAGAGAAGAATGGAGGAGAAGGGATTGCGGTGTGACCATCCCCTCTGGGGGGTGATTTCTCGCTTTCTGTCTCTATGTCTATCTCTGTCTGTCTGGCGAGCGCACATGCCCTATAGCGAAAACCTCTCAAAAATAAAAAAATTTAAAAATTTAAAAATCGAAAAAAAATAATATACAACTTTAAAAGACATGGTAGACACAGTTGGGTTCCTAAAACACTAAATTTTAAGAAAGGTAAAATAAAATGACTTAAAATCTACTAAAGATAACTCACATCAAACATTTTTGGGATATGACCTGTTCATAATCTATGCTATTTGCATTAAATATGAAATGACACTGAGCTCTGAGCTAACAGGACAGGAAATTATTCATTAGCCAGGAAATTATTCGGTTCTTCCCTCGTTGTTTCTTTTCTGAATACAGACACCTCTACTTGAGACCCTCACTGAAAGACTGTAAGGTTAATAACCAAAGTCCTGTTATCATTGTTGACAACAAAAAAGCCACAAATGAAATATATTCACTCAGATGTTCAAGACATGCTGATCTAGGTGCATTACTTTTTATTTGGTTTAATTTATTTTTATAGGATCATCTACCAAAATGATAAAAGGAAGAGAATGTCATGCAGCTTAATAGCGTTGGCTATTTGTATATGATGAAAGAGTTGTTGTTATCCAGCTGTGTAATCTTTACAGAAAAAAACATGCAGAGGGCAAGGTCCACCAAAGTTCAGGGGCTTCAAAACAAACTGACTGTCTAGGTTATAAATTGCCCATTGACCTTGCATTACTAAATGGCTTTTTAGTGGAGATAGCTCTCTGAATCCCAGGGTGATGCAATGTAAGTTACAAGCTCCAGGCTGCCATCAACTCTTCAGGTTGCTGAGAAAGAAGTGCACTCCTACTGACATTTAAAAAAGAATGAAAATTGCAAGCATTGATTGACCACTCTTGTGTCTGTGCCCCTTTGCACAGTATGGAAGTAATTGAAAGCCAGTTTTCTTTTTTTCTAACCAAATCCTCCCTTCAACTCATCCTTTTTCCAACTCTGCCTTCTTCCCCATTTATTTTGCCTATTTTGTACATTTAGATATGATAGGTTTGTAGCACTTGAGCCAATCAACTGATAAAGCAGGAGATGACAGTTGACACACTTTAATGTACTCTTAGACAAAGGACAAAAACAAATAAAAATAACTGCAAAGCACTGTGAAAATATAACATATTCCAAATGCTGAGTCCATTCAAAATAATGATATAATCAGAAGAGGAACAAAAGAAGTTTCTGTCACAGCAGGGACCAGGCCCCGGTGGAGGCACTCTGCTGCTTTAAAATGATCAACAAACTTCCACATGTTCCTACTTACAGTTTTGTTAACCACAGGTGGACAGTCAAAATTACATGTTTGTATAAATTTTGTTTAACACTTAAACTTCAAAAACCAATGCAAAAGTAGAAGTAAGGCAAGGGTGTGCTTTCCTAAGCTGCCAAAATTCCACCCCATGGTTTGAGGTTCTCCCAAACCTGAGGAGTCTCTGAACATGAAACTTATAAGGCATCTAACTCCAGTGAAAGGGGCTATGGAACCAGGGTAAAAAGAGAATCCTGGGTCAGGGATATTCACCCCAGGTTCTGAAATTGCCAGAAACCGAGGACATATTTATGTGTCTATCTTGAATACAATTTAAAAGACTAAGACATATTCTTGCGGCCAACCACAAACCAGATTTTTCTGACCAAAGCCTAGTCACAAACCCCCTTCTGAAGCCCACAGAATGGTAGATTCAATTTCCTTCCAGTGCAACCAGTCAATTCATTGTCCTACTCAAACCAGGCCTTATCCTCTGGAAACCCCAAAGCCTCAAGAAACAGAAATTTGATGGTTTGAATCTTCAGTTTTTCAACCATTTGATTCAATATCATGTAAACACAGCTGAGTGCCACATACTATAGTACAGAGCAACTCAAAGTGTGATCCATGGACTACAGATAGGCTGAGAACTGTTACCAGTCTGCCATGAGATAAGGATGAATGATAAGTCTTTAGAATCCTATTATTGGAATGTGATGAAGTCATTTTATGTCTCTGGCTCTAATCATAAAAAAATCAAACATTATATTTTATGTCTTTTCATTTTTTTAGTAATTCATTTTCCTTATATTTTATAAAAGCATCGGTTTACAATGGATTGACAACTTCAAAAGAAAGGGTCCTTCGCCATTGTGAATTTGAGAAGTACTGCTCTAAAAGATTCAGTTTATCTCTTAGTCCTGAGAAATAGCTTTTGATGTGAGCAAAGTAACCAAGTATTGCACTTCTCTATATTATCTCATACGTGTCTATGTTCAGTGCTGGTGGATAGATGACTTTGCTCTTTCAATTTGTCCAGGTCCTATGAGAAGCAGACAATAATATAAAATTAGAAACATGAGATATACTGGGGCAATGTCAGTAACCGACAATGGAAATGGGGCAGGGGAGAGGGGGGCTGGAGACAGCTGGGAAAGCAGCAAACTGCAATGCAGAACTAACCCCTGTGAAGGAGGGAGGGGGAGGATATGAGGAACGGAAGGAGAGGAGTGGAAAGGAGGAAATTAGGTTTCAGGCTGCCCAGCATCTCTAAGAAAGTTCAGCAAGGCTGGTACCGACTCCTCCTTGAGTCAAAGTCATGTGTCAGCGAGTCCCCCATCTCCATAAAACGGGCCTGTTTTTAAGTCTTGGTTGCATTCAGCTATTTCTAAGGAATAGCTTTTGGAAAATGAGACCTAGGCATAAATGTAGTTATGAATTCAAGAAAAGCAGATGAGGCTGTTGTTCAATTACTTTCTCTGCAGTAAGATTTGAAGGGTACATTGTTATGGTCTCTACACTCTTCCTGATTCCATGGAGGGAGTGTGACCTCCTTTTCACCTAGAAATGATGAACAGTGAAGTAGGATTAATGCTCTGCTCCTCATTCTCTCATCATTCACTCCTCTAAGCTTACCTAATAGTGAGACCAAAGGAAGTCTCAACTTGCTGGGCCAAGTTAAGCTACAGACAGAACCATGTGAGAGGAAAGGTAGGTTGTTTCTAGTTCTGAAAAAAATTAGATTTTTGTTTAACAGTTGTCCTTTCAGTTAGCTAGATAAATGTTCATTACAAAAACTCAGTTCTGTCTTAGACTTATGACCAGAAATAACTTTGTCCTACAAGTTAGCGGGAAACTGCTCTCTGAGGATTTTAGAGAAGTTGTCTAATCCATGAGTAAACCTTATTCAATTTTTAATCTTTAATTATATTTCTGTTTGTATTTTTCATTTGAAAGAAAACAGAAAGGAGAAAGGTGAGTGACTGGTACCATCTAATTTCCAATATGTGAATGAATGTGAGCGTATGTACCCAAAGTATCTGTATTATCCTAAATATAGTGCTTGCGAATTACAATGTACCATGTGCTTTTTTTCTTTTTCTTTTAGAGATATTTTTGCTATAGGGCACAGCTGCTGGAGAGACAGAGAGCCAAAAAGTGAGAAATCAGCCCAAAGGGGGTTGGCCATACCACAATCCATTTTCCTCCATACCCCTCTCAGGATTTGGGACACACACACACACACACACATACTTGCTTGGTGAGAGTCTCAAGCCGTTGGGTCCAAAGTTTCAGGTCGAACCCCGGTTGACAATGTGGGAGTTCACTGATGTAACCATTACATCATCTGCTGGCCCCAAGTGCATGTGTACTCTTTAACACTAAAAACAATGATTGCATATAGCAGTTGCTACTGTATAAGAAATGAGTGGTG